TTAGGGGGAAACTTTAGGAAACAGAAGTGGTTTAGTCTAACAAATTTTGGGAGCTAGTTCCAGGCACCTAGGGGACACTGAATTAGAGAGCGAAGAGGGGCAAGCACTGAAGCACAGACAATTAAGTACAACACCAGTAACCTATGTTGGAGCGCCAGCTGGAATCTTGGCTGCTCCAGTTTCAATCCAGTCCCCTGCTAATGCTTCTGGGAAGGCAGCAAGCGATGGCTCAAGCACAGGGGCCTGTGCCTCCCACGTGGGAGACCAGGATGGAATTCCTGGCTCCTGGCTTCAGGCTGGCCCAGACTTGGCTGCAGTGGCCATTTGGGGAGTGAATTAGTGGATAAAAATCTGCTTCTCCCTCTCTCTATCATTCTTTCAAATAAATAAATAAATACATGTTTTTAAAAATCTTAGTAGATGGGCCCGGCGCGGTGGCGCAAGTGGTTAAAGGTCCTCGCCTTGCACCCCGGGATCCCATATGGGTGCCGGTTCTAATCCCAGCAGCACCGCTTCCCTTCCAGCTCCCTGCCTGTGGCCTGGGAAAGCAGTCAAGACGGCCCAAAGCTTTGGGACCCTGCACCCACGTGGGAGACCCGGAAGAGGCTCCTGGCTTCGGATCGGCATAGCATTGGCCATTGTGCTCACTTGGGGAGTGAATCATCGGACGGAAGATCTTCCTCTCTGTCTCTCCTCTCTGTATATCTGTCTTTCCAATAAAAAATAATAAAAATAAATCTTTAAAAAAAATCTTAGTAGAAAAATGTACAGTACGAGCTTAAATTCATACCAAGGACAGTCTTGAGCCAAATGGATTTAAGACATGAAGTTGGCAGAGGAGAGGGGCCAATGTTGTGGTGTGGCAAGTAAAGCAGCTACCTGCAGCAAGAGGTATACTTGAACATCCTATATGTTCAAGTCCCAATTGCTTCACTTCTAATCCAGCTCCCCACTAATGTGCCTGGCAAAGCAGCAGGAAGATGGCCTAGGCACTTGGGCCTCTGCATCCATGTGGGAGACCTGGATGAAGCTCCTGGCTCCTGGCTTTGGCCTGACTCAGGCCTGGCTGTTGTGGCCACGTGAAGGAGTTAACCAGTGGAAAAAGATCTCTACCTCTCTCTCTCTCTGAAACTTCCATCTTTCAAATAAATAAACATTATTTTGAGCCCAGCACAATAGCTCAGTGGCTAAATCCTCACCTTGCACATGCCAGGATCCCATATAGGCATTGCTTCATGTCCTGGCTACTTTACATACCATCCAGTTCCCTGCCTGAGGTCTGGGAAAGCAATTGAGGATGGCCCAAAGTCTTGGGACCCTGCACTCATGTGGGAGACCCGGAAGAGGCTCCTGGCTCCTGGCTTCAGATCAGCTCAATTCCAGTCATTGTAGCCACTTGGGGAGTGAACCAGCACATGGAAGGTCTTTCTATCTCTTCTCTCTGTATATCTGTAAACCTTCAAATAAAGATCCTTTTTAAACAAGAAAGAAGTTGGCAGAGGAGCTAGCACTCTTCTCCTAGGCTCCCACCTCGAGGCGTACCCTTCTGAAATCCATTTCCTCCCCATGATGCCTGCTGCTTCCTCCCTACACACAGGGCTCCTTGAAGACTGGGAGAACTAAGACTGTTCCCTGGGATCGTCCCCAGCACCCAGCCCGCCATACGGTGGGTGCACCATGGCTGTCTCGTGTGGGAGAACTGGGAACAGATGCACTGCGTGGAGCATCCCTGCCTGGCCCCTCAAACAGAGCAGACATTCAGGCTCAGAGCACACGCACCTCCTGCCCAAAGGCTGTGGCCATGTCTCGCACTGCCCTCAGAGGGCTGACACTACACTGTGACCATGACACCAGATCTGGGCCCTGTTCTCTCCTGCTAAACAATTGTTGATTCCCATGCCCAAGGTCCTGGGCTATTGTTCCCCAAGTCTGTGATCCTTTCTTATTATTCCATCCCATGTCTCCGTGTTGACTGAAGATATGACAAGGTCCTGCTGCAGTCCCTCCCGGGTGAGGTCAGCCAAGATAGAGGGAGAGGAATGGGCATTGTGTGACCTGAATGGGTCTCCCTGTGCTGACAGCCACACTGCCCAGTGCATAAACACGGCGTGCCGGAATGCCAATAGCCACTGCCTATTAATAGACATTAAAAGTCCCTGATGACCTCATGCCTCCTCTTCTCTCTCCCACTTAACTACCTGTTGTATTGAACTGGGAACAATGTGTTGAACTGGGCTTGCAGCCAGGCAGTCCTATACCTGGTCTTGACTTTGGCATTAGTGAATCGTCTTAAACAGGTGCTTAAAGTGCTTTCCTCACCTGTGAAATGGTGCTGATAAATGGGAACCATCTAGGCCAGCCACTGAGTGTGGGATACAGAGACACACAGAGCACGGTCTCTGGCCTTGTATGAGGTACAAGGAGAGACACAGGAGCCAGAACAATGCTGTGGGATTACACAAGGTGGCATGATGCAAGCAGATGTCGCTGCTGTACTGTGCACATCAGGCACTCAGCTGCTTTCTCGTGCTTTAAGAATTTGTCTCTCTTCCCTTTCTCAACCATCTCTCTGACTCTGGAGGTTGCTGAAGGCCAACCCAAGAGGTCCATGTGTCCCCTTTCCCTCCATGCATACCTCCCCGCCACAGCATGCCCACCTGCACATGGCTCAAACCTGACTCCAAGCCTGGCACCAAGGTCTTCCTACTTTTGTTCCTACCTGGCACCTGCAGCTCCCTCTCCTGCAAGTTACTCATCCTCCCCCCATTCAGGGCCTACTCTCTGTTGCCCAGACCTGTCACTCATCACACCCCAGCCATTCCATTCATAAAACAGTTCTTCCATGTCCTTTAAGGCCTGGGCACTGTGTTCCATGTGAAGGTTACCCAGATAAACACAGGAATGGGGTGAGAGGATTGGCGGTCTTTGGGTCCATGGTTTGGGCTGTTTGTGCCCTACAGCGGAGTATCTTAGCTCTGCTTCCGATTCCTGCTCTGTGATTCCTGCTTCCGGTTCCTGGCTCTGCTCTGCTTCCTGCTAAAGCACACCCTGGGAGGCAGCAGGGCCCTGCTACCCGCAGGGGAAACGCAGCTTTAGTTCTTGGCTCCTGGAAGCCCCAGTCCAGCTCTGGCTCTTGCAGGCATTTGGGGAATGAACCAGTGGGTGAAATATCTTTCCCTGTTAGTTTCTCTGCCTTTCAAATAAAACAAAAATGATTTTTTTTTTTTTTTAAAGCAGGGACTGGCCCTACATAGTGATGCAGCAGTTAAGGCACCACCTGCCATGTGGGGCTGTTTCACTTTCCATCCAGCTCGCTGCTAAGGCGCCTGGAAAAGCAGTGGAGGGTGGTGCCAGGGCTTGGTCATCCCCAGGAACTTGGATGGTTTTGTAGCAATTTGGGGAATGAAACAGTGAGTGGAAGATCTCTTTGTTATTCTGCCTTTCAAATAAATACATCTTTAAAGAGAAATAAATGAAAAATCAGCCCTTAGTGCTGAAAAGTTCTGAGTTTAAATCCTAAATGTGCCATGGTCCCTGAGTCCTGGCCCACCCTGCCTGTGTAAGCATTGTGCTGGCGGAACCAACATCTGGGACCTTCACACTGTTGCATCACACCAGCATTGCTGGACATTTTTTTAAAAGTTTTATTTTTATTTTTATTTTTATTAGAAAGACAGATTTACAGAGAGAAGGATATACAGAGAGGAAGATCTTCAATCTGTTGGTTCACTCTCCAGGCAACTGCAACAGCCGAAGCTAAGCCAATCCGAATGACGCCAGGAGCCTAGAGCCTCTTCCAGGTCTCCCATATGGGTGCAGGAACCCCAAGGCTTTGGTCCACTCTCAACTGCCTTCCCAGGACACAAGCAGGGAGTGGGGCAACTGGGATTAGAACTAGCACCCATATGGGATCCTGGTGCGTGCAAGGCGAGGACTTTAACCACTACACTATTGTGCCGGGCCTCATTGCTGGACATTTTTAAGGTGTAGGATGAGACTCAGTGAATGGGTGAATATAGTCTACTAGGTATGTACTTCCAATTTCCTGGTTTTTTTTTTTTTTTAAGATTTATTTATTTTTATTGAAAAGGCAGACTTACAGAGAGAAAAAATTTCCCAAGTGCTAGTTTACTCTCCAAGTGGCCACAATGGCTGGAGCTGAACTAATCTGAAGCCAGGAGCCAGGCAGGGAGCTGGATGGGAGAATTTGGGATATAAACTTACATCCCTATGGGTCCCTGCACATGCAAGGCAAGGACTTGAGCCACTAGGCTTCTGCATTGGGCATTTTTTTAAGGTTTATTTTATTTGAAAGATAGAGAGAGGGAGGGAAAGATAAGAGATCTTCTATCTGTTGCTTCACTCTCCCATATGGCCCAGATCATTTGGGCAGTCTTCTTGTCCCTATGACTGACAACTAGGTCCTTAACCCGTCCCTGGTCCTGAGTCCCACTCTCAAGCACTGCACACAAGCAAAAACAGGAACTAACATGACTTCCAGATCTCTGAAAGTTCAGCACTGGCAGGAGGGCATCAGAATAGTCAAAACCTAATCAGCAGCCTTCAGTCAGGATTAAGAAAACAGGACTTTTATTTTTGTTGCAGCTTTTGCTGGAAGCCACCAGGTGGCAGAGGAGAGCGCAGTGCAGCTAGCCGGCCTCCAGGGTGCCAGGGTGCCAGGGTGCCAGGGCAGGGGATGGAGCAGGAGGGCAGGAGCCGCAGGAGCAGGGGGAGGACTGAACATGAGGTAGGAGTGTGTGCTTTGATGCCTGAGAAAACAAGGGGGGGAAACCCGGGGCTGGCTATGGATCTCAAGGCGGGCCCAGAATCATTAAGGACACCTGCTGGCTTCAGAATAAAGTTGAGGGAATGAGGGAAGGGTTTGGGAAGTTGGGCTAAATCGGGAAGGATGGAAGAGGACTCAGAAAGCTAGGAGAACATGGTGCATTTCGCCTGCACGCCTGGGGTGCCTGGGGACAGGAGCTGCCTTGGGGGGTCTCTCATCTATACTCTTCCTGGGGTGGGTCAAGGTCTGGCTCCTCCTGAGGCTCGTGGTCCACCTCAGGGGCAGGTGGCCAGGGGTTTACTGGGGGCTGGGGTCCTCCTGCTGGCCAGGGGTCATCAGGCAGGGGAGGCTGAGGGGGCTCAGTGCTGGGGGGCTCTGGGGGCCAGAGGCCAGTTTCAGGTAGATCTCTCCAGGGACGGTTGGGGCCTGGAGGTGGAGGGTCTTCAAAGAGAGGGGGTGCCCCTGGCCAGGGATCACCAGGGATTGGGGGACCCTGAGGCAGGGTCGGGGTGCTCTCCTCCTCGCTGGCTTCTGTGGGTTGGGGAGAAGGGTGGTCCCTGATGCCCGAGATGCCTGTAGGACAAAGGAAGGAGAGGTCAGAGGTGGCAGGGCACAGACCTGTGTGCCCACCCTCATCCCCATTACAGGCCCAGCAGGCAGAGCCCCTCTGGATGGACAGAGCCTGGGCTGATCCCGCCAGGAAACCTCAAACTCCAAAGCATCGTCCACCCATTTACAGAATCCCAAAGTCATATAATAGGTCTGAACCATTGACTTGATCAACTCTAAATGACTGTGCATCCCCCCCAAAACAGCCCCATCCAAGTCTAAGTAGGCACCAACAGCACACCACACCTCAGACCCAGCTCCACTGAACACTCGCCCACACAGCTGAGCTCCATCCAAATCACCCGCCTGCATCCCCAGGCGCCCTAACTCTTCCCCTCGTGCCCAGTCCCAGGATCTCCACCACGGCTGTGCCCAGCTTGTCACCTTGACCAAATCCCCCAAATCATCCCAAATACCCCATTCCAACTCCAGTTCCCAACTCACCCCCAGCGAACAGGCAAAGGACCAGGATCCCCAGTAGCCTCCAGTTGAGCATTATGGCTGTCGACTGGCCCCCACAGGTGGGGCGGCTGAGTCTGGGAGACCGGGATCTCCAAGAGGCTTTATAGGGAAGGAGGAAGAGGGGCCGGCCCAGTGACACAAAGAATCCCATCAGAATCTAACTGGTCAAACCTGTTTTAAAGGCCATGGCCGATGTGATGGTGGCGTCTCTCATTTTAGTCCCCTGGCCCAGGACCCAGCCACTAACCTGGGACCCTGAGTGCCCCCACCCTTTGTTTCCTTGCCCCCTCCAGCCACACCCCAGCAGCAGTCAGTACCCACTGTCATTCCATAATCACAGGGATGACCAGCTTTCATCCCTGGCAGCTATTGGAAGCCAAAGAATGGGAGCAGCCTGGCGTGGGGAAGCACCATAATTACAGGGCCAGCAAGCAGGACGTCCAGGCTGGGTGGTGGGGGGAGCAGGGGAGTGGAAAAGCACGTGCTCTTGGAGTCTGGGGCGCGGCTGTGACAGTGTCAGCTGGGACCCCAGCCTCCCACCCACCCCACAGACGACTTTGGGGGGCTTCATTTTTCTGATCTGCTGCTCTTTTAGCTGTGACTTGTTCAGGAACACAGGACCTCCCACGTGGTGACAGTTGGGGAATCCAGCCTGGAGCAGCCTGGGTGACAGCATAGGAGGAAGGGGACAGCAGGATATCCCGGTTGCCTCTTTCCCCACCCACCACGCACCACAGGTTGCATCAGTGGGCTTGAGGCTCAGGAAGTTGTGACCTCTTCCTCTTCCCTGTCCCTCCCTTGTCCTGGTCCCACCTCCAGGCCTCTGGCTCACTCAAGGTCACCTTTCCAGGCTGCCTGGAGCTCTGGAAGCCTGTGCAGGTGTAACACGCCCTCATTTGCTCCTTGCCCGGCCTGCTTCCCAAAGGGACAGCAGTGTCTCCCCACCCCACACAGTTCACAAGGAAACCTGCTTCTCTCCTCTCCCCCAGGCCAGGCCAGCCAGCCACCCTGATCCTGAAACCCCACTGGCAAACCCCCAGTTTACTCCCCATACCAAAATCTGACCTTCCACACCTTTTATTTTTGTGTATGTTAAAGATTTTATTTTTGGTCCCAGAGGCCAGACCTAGCAGCTAAAGTCCTCGCCTTGAACGTGCTGGGATCCCATATGGGTGCCAGTTCTAATCCTGGCAACTCCACTTCCCATCCAGCTCCCTGCTTGTGGCCTGGGAAAGCAGTCAAGGACGGCCCAAAGCCTTGGGACCCTGCACCAGTTTGGGATGCCCAGAAGAAGTTCCTGGATCCTGGCTTTGGATCCGCATAGCATCGGCCGTTGCGCTTACTTGGGGAGTGAATCATCGGACAGAAGCTCTTCCTCTCTGTCTCTCCTCCTCTCTGTATATCTGACTTTCCAATAAAATAAATAAATCTTAAAAAAAAAAAAGATTTTATTTTTATTGGAATGTCAGATTTACAGAGGAGACAGAAAGATCTTCCATCTGCTGGTTCAATCCCAAAATGGCTGAAATGGCCAGAGCTGACCCAATTCAAACCCAGGACCTAGAAATTTCTTCTGGGTCTCCCACGTAGGTGGATCCCAAGGCTTTGGGCCACAAGCAGGGAGCTGGAAAGAAGTGAAGCAGCCAGGATGTGAACTGGCACCCATATGGGATCCAGGAACATAAATGGGATCCAGGAACATAAGGCAAAGACTTTTGCCACTGGGCTATTGTACTGGACCTTCCATACCTCTTTGAAATGTCAATCAGATTATGTCCCTGCTTTCCTGTTTAGGAAGTACTCCATGGGCTTCTGATGGACTTCGGAGTCCTTACTGTCTCTGCTCAGCCTCTCTCCAGCACCCCCAATGACCCCACGAAGACCCTGGCCTGGGGTCTACACACACACACACACACACACACACACACACACACACACACTCACATACACACAGGCTCCCTCACTAGGTTCTCTGCAGGGAGTCCTGTCCCTGGGCTCCTCCCCTCCCCCCAGTTTCTAGCATTTTGCTTTCTCCTCCTGGTACTTAAGTGTGTGAGACACCCCCTGTTCTTGTCTATGGCTTGCCTCCCACCGGAAGTACCATGGGCACAGGGGTCTTGTCCTTCAGGCCTTGCCCCTGTGGGAACCAGTTCAAAGAGTGCAGGTTTTCTCTGCCCCTCACCTGGCATTTATCATCTTCCAAAGAATTGTAAATTAATGCTAGGATGAGGGGAAAAACAAGAGCTTCCCAAAACCCTGGCCAAGATGCCATGGAGGGTCTGACACAATAGTTCAACTGGCTATTCCTCCACCTCCAAGTGCAAGGATCCCATATGGGCACCAGTTCATGTCCTGGATGCTCAACTTCCCTTCCAGCTCCCTATTTGTGGCCTGGGAAAGCAGTGGAGGACAGCCCAAGACCTTGGGATCCTGCACCCATGTAGAAGACCTGGAAGAAGATCCTGGCTCCTGGCTTTGAATTGGCTCAGCTCTGGCCATTGCAGCCATTTTGGGAGTGAACCATTGGATGGAAGATCTTTATCTCCTCTCTATAAACTTAGATGTACCTTTCCAATAAAACTCAGTAAACCTTTAAAAACAAAAAGCCAAGGAAAGGGGGCTCATGAAGGCAACACCAAGGGGCTGTGTGATGGATACAAAGGACTCCCCAGTGACCCTCTGGGTGACATCTCCAGACCATGGCTCAGCTTGCTGTAGTTGTCTTTATTTAGTGCAGGATAGTCCACAGGTGGTGGCAGCTGGTATCAGAGGGCTGGGCAGCTGGGTGGGGAAGAAGGCTGGGCTGGCTCCTGTCTTGCTTCTCCAACATTCTCCAGGGATTGGGGCCCCAGGGCAGGTTCCAGGACAGGCCCCAAGGCCGGCCCCAAGGCAGCCCTGGGGCCCTTGTTCTTAGCTGTCCTCTTAGCTGCTTAGCTGTTGAGATGCAGGCTGGAGGAGGAGGAGGCTTCGGGTTTATCTCCTTGGCAGATAGTTTCCTCTCTGGCAATGGCCTCACTCAGGCCCTGCAGGTTATCCAACAGGACAGAGATGGATGCTGGGAAAGAAGATGAGGGGTGGATACCAGGCCAGTGAAGGTTCTCAGGGCAACTGTGTAGGGTTGTGGGGCAGACAACAGTATAAGAAGGGATGGTTTTGGCTCCAGATAGTGTAGATCTAGAGGCCTGAGGCCTCCCCAAGTGGAGCAGACTGCCTGGGGTGAACCCTGGAGCGAACCCTGGAGCGCTCTCCATTGGTGTTTCCCAGCTTCGCCCATTACCCTTTGTGGAGGTCTTGGTGCAGGACGACCCTGCTGGAGGGGTGGATGCTGAGGACCCTGTAGGCCGGAGCCTATACTCCGAGGATTTCTCCTTGTTCAGCAGAGAAGGAAGAACTGCCAAGAGTCGCTGCTGCTTGTAATGGGAGAGGAGACCCTCCTGCTGCAAGGTGGCCTGGGAAGGAGAGGGTTAAAGGCCACCTAGCCGGGGCACAGCCTCCCCCTCCTCTGTCTACACTGCTAACCGCAGGCAGCCCAGCCCAGACAGGGCCTGGGGGCTTCAGTCTCAGTGGTCTTGGGTGTTCCCTACCAGCATGAGGTTCTTGTCCCTCTCCAGCTCCTGCACGCGCTGAGCCAGCCGCTGCCCTTCTTCCTTCCGGGCCTCGTCCTGCAGACGCCTGAGCTCTTGGTTCCGCTCCTTTTCCCGGCTGGCCTTGCGCTGGATCTGGCGCAGGGAGACCACTGAAGACAAGACAGTGCACAAGAGGGCATGGGTGGGTTAGCCAGGATGCAGGTGGGCATTGTGAAGGCACTGCGGAGCTGGCTCGGTATGTCCCCACAAAGCTGGACAGCTGAGCTCTAGGACCCTGTGATCTGCGACCCCTACATACCTTCTCCATCCCTACTTCCTTAGGGGGGATCCGAATGCTAGACTTTGTACAATTCATGCTCATTTTTTTTGCAGGGCGATAGTGGTACTGAGGTTACAGAGAATCTCCTAGTGGTGGGAGATGCAGCTGAACAATTTGTGGAGTGCACTTTAAATGTTTGTAAATATGTGTCTTGGGCCCGTTGTGGTGGCCTAGCGGCTAAAGTCCTTGCCTTGCACATGCTGGGATCCCATATGGGAGCCGTTTTTGATCCTGTCAACCCCGCTTCCCATCCAGCTCCCTGCTTGTGTCCTGGGAGAGCAGTGGAGGACGGCCCAAAGCCTTCCTACACCTGCCTGGGAGACCCAGAAGAAGCTCCAGGTTCCTGGTTTCGGATCAGCACAGTTCTGGCTGTTGCGGTCACTTGGGGAGTGAATCAACAGATGGAAGATCTTCTTCTCTGTCTCCCCTCCTATCTGTCTGACTTTGCAATAAAAAATAAATCTTAAAAAAAAAAAATACGTGTCTACTCAGTGAAGACATCACATGTGGCTGATGTGCTGTGCAGTATCCAGTTAAAGACCCAGTAAAAGTACATGAGTACTACCTGCACAATCCTGCTCATTCAGCTACATATTTGCAGTGTCTGCTGTGGCAGGAGGCAGCAGCTGCTGGTGCTGGACGTGGGAATGGGGCGGCCATTCTTGGGGGCAGTGGCTGAGAGGGTACTGGGGACCTCTCCTGTGCCATCCCCTCATACAGCATACTTCCTTCACTACCTGCATGCCTCACTTCAACCGGAGCTTTTCCAAATGTTTGGGGTGAGAGGGATAATGACCTTCCTGGAAGGCCCACGTGCCCCTAGCAAACCTCACCGGCCTTAGCGTGCTCCCTCCGGGCCTCGTTCAGTCTCCTCTCCGTGTCCGTCAGCTGTTCCCGCAGCCGCGTTTCCACCTCAGCCACCTTCTCTTGCAGAGCTGGTGTGAAGAGGCCGATGGGAAGGGTTGCAAGGAGATATTCCTCCCAACTCCCTTCTTCTTGAGTAGTAACCCTTGCTTTGCCCACACACCTTGCCCGTAGACCTCCTGCTGCTGGGTAAGCTCCTGCCGCAGGCTGGCCGCCTCCTGGGTGCTCTCCTGCTGGCCCTGGCGGGCTGCCTCCAGCTGCAGC